AAAAAAGGGTAATGATGACACTGAATATGTGTAAAACCCATTGCAGCTGTGTGCACACCAAAGTCACGTAAATTTACACTACTGGGAATTTTACACTGTATTAGTGTAGATCAACACTTCTAGTTGTGTTATAACACACTGTTTGAGTGCTGAGCCAACACTATTTGTAACTCATGGAGAAGTCCCAAAAGTAGACAAAGTAACAACTACGACAACAACCTGTAAATTTACTCCCATTTAATAGCTTATATTACCCTGACAGTAAAAACTTTGTCGTCTTCAGAATTCAGTAAAACAGAATTAAAAGGAGTGTTTAACTAATAGGGCTGTACACGGTGGGTCTTTCTTTTCCAAGACTTTTTTATAGGGAGCTCAATACTCACGACGACGACGGCGACGAAAATGTTACGAAAAAAACACAATAGATTTAGATTAGCAAAACAACATCTTTGCACGTGCATAACGCATTTTTGCTTATTTTCTTGCCGTTGGTGCACGACTACGACATTTTAACTACCTAATTTCACCAGTTTTGGGGTGGACGAGAACACACTGCATGAGACAACGATTTTCTCAACCTTGTTAAAAAATTCAAATAGTCCTTTATAGAACTGATTTGAACTCTGAGCAGGAGTGATGAAATTTGAAACAACGTGGATTTACTTTTTAAGAGACATTTTTTCTACCGTCGTTGTCGTCGTTCGGCTTAGCTATATTGATGTGAGAGGCAGATTACACAACAAGTCGCGCAGTTTAATATATTTTAGTTTGCTTTAAGAGCTTAGAACTGAGTCAGTTCATTCATGAGTTGTAAAACTTTCGTCGGTAGTTTAACACTGTCGTAAACATTCAAAACCTCTCTCTGGAGAAATAAATATGTGTTTCTACATTCTTTTGGATATTCTATGTTGCAAACAAAATATATCAGCAGAAGTGTGACCAAAGCGCTGGTATGTCCTCCATTAACCTTTAGGAGGAGATTCCTTTCCCCACTAAGGTATATGTCATCTGAGGCTTGCAGTTGCCCCTCAAAGATGATAAAGGGCGTCATTCCCTCCTTGGCGTTATGGGCAATTTGCTTTGCATCATCACCATTCTAAGAGGAAAAATAAGCCAAAAGAACACTTTCACTAAATGTGTTTTATCAACTACTGCAGCATGATAAATGGCAATAAATATCGAAATGGAAAGTTCTGTATGTTCATCCAATTCTTCAGGTAGCCCAAACCCTATTTGTGTTTTTTACGATTGCTACGATTTAACCGATTTCTATGAATTTTGCCATCTTAACAAAGAATAGTCAAAATTTAAGAAACAGTTATTTATTTTCGTGTAGGTAAAAAACTTTTTGAGATATCAGATTATGTCTAAAACCGAATTTTCACAAAAACTGTAAAAAAAAATCATAGAAATCGTTTGAATCGTTCCTGCCACAAAACGCGATTAAAAAATATAACCAAAGCGCTTAAAAAAATAATAGTTCCGTGCCACCTTAAACGACCCCTCCACTGGTCACAGTAGAAACCGCTGACACTTTTGCCTGAGTAAAGTGTCGAGTAAAGCACGCTGGCAAATTCTACGTTGATCTTCATACTTTATTGCAAGCTGATTTTGAACCCTCTAATATTCTTTATAATGCGGTAAGTGACGAAAAGTATGTCTCTGATACTAGGCATGTTGTAGTGGTAAGCAAACAACCTTTACCTATATTGACTGATGCATTATTATACGTAATCTGAAGGTAAGCTTATTTATTTTAATTTTTGGCAAGTGTCACTCAACTGGAACATTCATGGTTGTTAACATGAAGGTAAAAACTATGAAAAATTCAAACATCAGAGAGATGCAGAGATCGAGCTTTATGTAATATCTTACAACTATGATTTGTAATGGCATTTATATGAACAAGAAAGATAGGGTATTGACTCTAACTGTATTGTTGTTTTCTTACCTGGTAAAGAAAGTCACATTGGCTCTGGCCATTTTTCGGTGCCCTTTCAAGTATCATCGGCAAAAGACACAGAGCAATGAGTGCTTGGTCCTCTATATAAATTGGACATAAAAGTAACTGATCGGTTTTTGTTTCACAAGAGACAGAAATGTGTTAACTTAATGGGGAACACCCATTCACTGTTTTGTTTTCCTCTGCCCTAACCATAGTAATGGGTCAGAGTAAGAAAGAAAGGAGAAGGGGTTATTAAAAGTGATATAAAAATTTATTATATAAACACCAGTGAAATACCAGGTGAGCTTTTGTGCGAAAAACATGATATCTTCACACATGAAAATGCATATTATTTTCACCTAATTATGAAAAGATCACTAGTGCTATCGCTACATAACAAATCCTGCCTTTTGCAGCCAAAAAATATTTAATTGAAATGGTTTGGCATTTCATTGGTGTTTATTTTAATCATAATGGTGTTTGAAAATATTTCACTCGTTCGCTGCGCTTACTTGTGAAACATTTTTCAACACTCAAAGAGAAATTTCGTATATCTCCGCCAGGGACCGCGGAGCACGGTAAAATGTGGGAGGGCGGACAATTGAAAATGATTTTTTCATATTGAAAATCGAAAAAAGGAATAAAATCATAGTATTTGATTTGTTTCTGTCGCGTGACTTTGCATACTCTATCCAGTATTTGTTTCTCTTTATAGGTCGGCATTAGTGAAGATAACGAAATTCTTCATACGATTTTGATTCCGTCTAGCAAATGTGTGTGCTAAATTACAGGATTGCTGACAATAAGTAGAATGTTATAAATAGAATAAATATATAACCCATCACCAAAAATCTAATTACACTTAACGAATATTAGTCAGAAACAACTCGCACTTCCAAAAAATGAAACTTTTAACAATATATTGAAATGTTTACAGATCAAACTCAAACTCACCATTTTCACTGCAAGTAGTTGTCGTCTTTTCTACAAAGCTTACAGACTTTGACGAAGTCCCAGCTAAGTCTAATAAACGACCAACATACACGGTCAGTTGAGATTCAATGCAAGAAAAGACGCGATTACAATTTTAGTATAGAAAATACTACACTGAAGTGATCTGAAAAATTTCTAACTATGGCCGTTCACAGTTCAAGTAATGTAATTCTTCTTGCCATCGAATATTTCATTGATTCCAAAGGAGAAAGACAAAATATAAAACTTTTATCAACTCAAAACAACTACTCACCTTCGTTTGGCTTGAAAAAGCTGGTAATTTTCTTCATTTCGTTTGATAAAACTGATAAAAAAACTCTGCCGGAGCTGGAAGTACAAAACACGCTGCCGAACGAAGCGAAGGGGTGGCCAAGGCATGGCATTTGATCAAGGGGCCAGTCGGCCCCAGGGCACAATTACCTCGAAAAGAACAAGAGCCCCACAAAATGCCTGGCGTTTGAAATTAAAGAAAATACAGAGAATATAGCGGAATATAGACGGAAAAAAACTTGTTTCAAGTCTTTTTTTTTTATTATTTCAATTATTTTTCTTTTCAGCGCAAAAAGTAGGGGCGGGGGCGCAAAAAAGTGGTGGGGCCGCGGCCCTACCAGCCCCTCCCCCTCCGCGGTCCCTGTCCGCGCGGCCAGGTAATATCCTATATTTGTAAACACTAACAAAAAGAAAGGATGTTGTGGCAAATTAATGTACAGTAGTGTCCTTTAAAAAGTTATTTACCTGAAGTGGGCGGAGTATCCTCTTCATCATCAGAGTCACACTTTAGTAGATCGAGAAGTGGCTCCGATCCTTTTAGATTTTTTCTTTTGCTGTATTCAATAATTTTGGAACCCAGTTTTAAGAATTTTTCTTCAATGCCAGTCGCTGCATCTTCATCAGCCATTAGCCTGCATTATTCATTTCGTACCTGAAATTTTGTAATCAAAACAATTATCCATAAGAATTTAACATATTTATATCACCATTACATATTTTTTTATTTTTAGTTCTTTCCAACCTAACGAAAACAGTAAAATCCTGGGGTGGGTAATAACCAACATGTATACCGAAATGCGCCTCTAGACAGGATATGGTTTTCGCCACTCTCTCCTAAACAGGGTACTCTGTGCATCACTTAACAGTTTTGCGCAATTCTGCATGTCCTAAACAGTGTATGTGTCCTTTTTCCTAAACAGGGTAATAAAATTAAGAGTTTTGTATTTTTCTAGGGATTTTTTTGTTCTAAATAGGGACAGGGTCTCAAACTCTCAACGACCCTGCACCCCTTCCCAATTGGTCAAGTACCCCCCTGGGTTTCAATCCATGTCCATCCTTGTGATCCTTGTGATCAAAGCAAAACTGGACCAGTGTTTTTAGAATTCAATTGATAAGAATTAACACACATTTTAGCTTTTAAAAAATGTAGCGTGACGAACGTGTGACTAAACTGTAGTCTAAGCTTACCTCTTTTTCATCAAATAGAAATGGATATTTTTCTTTGATGTCCAGTAGAGGTACCATCTCCTTTGTTAAGTACTCCCTTCGGAAGGAATATGTGAGGTCCATTTTTCTTGTTACAAGGCTGTATCTTTTTTCTTTCTTCTTCCATTCTGAGTGCATCCACGTGACATGCCTGGCATGGGATGCTTCGTCCTCTCCTTCAATATGTGGGGGAACCCATTTTACAATCCCCCTTCGTAGTCCTTTTGCGGGATTTGGCTGTTTTATGCTACCATCTGGGTTTTTCCTTTTTCGTGCCATCACCATTGGGTCTGGCACATAACCACGACATTCATTCTTGCATTTATCAGTGAGGATTCTATACCAGCTTTCCTGTTAAGTGTTCAAATCATAAAAGTGTCAAGTACAGTTCATCTATAATTTTGTTTTATATATACAAATGAATAATATTGTTGCACATAAATTTTAAGAGCAACAATATTATTTTAAATAATATTGTTGCTCTTAAAATTTATGTGCAACAATATTATTCATTTGTAATAATAGTATTGATTGTCATGTTGGATACTGCACCTTAAGTTCATAAACAGTATAGTAAATACAATTGAACTACAACACAACCACCTGTCATATAGAAGCTGCCACCTATCCAAAACACCAAACTTTTTCCAGTCAAGTCACTACAGTTTAATCCTCTCACGAGACCACTTTTTTCAGTTAAGATGTTTGAATTTTCATTGTTCTTACCATCATGTTAACAACCATTTGGCGCATGGTTTGATCACCATGTGCACTGAATGTTCCAGTTTAGTGACACTTCAATACCAAACCTCTAATCTTTGCACCGTGGGTAGTCACTTATGGGAGGCCCCGTTGCATAGTTAAACAGAACATACACATAGCCTGTTATTGATCAGTGTAAAGCTCTGGTTAAATTTTATTTTCTTTCATCCAGATACCAAATTTGCAGTTTTTGTTGTGTTAAGTCTTTGGCCCTTTCATTCAAATTCAATTAATAGTCATATTAATAATATATCTACTTACACAACCACCATCTACATCGGCTTGAAAAGGATAATCTGTTATGATTTGTCTGCAAACTTGTCTTCTTTGATCTGCTGTAGGAGACCTGTCATTTTCAAAGTTAAATAGAATGATATAAGTGATTTCTGACAAAATGGTTTTAATGCATACATTCATTTTCAGCAGTGTTTTTCTCTCTCTGCATAATACCAGAACCGGTTTTCCCAAAAAATGCAGGGATAAAATTAGGTGAAATACTTTTGTGCAGGCACCCTACAGCATTACTAAGTCTGTTCTTTCTGTCTTTTTTGTTTTAAATTTGTAAATAACCAAGCCTAAGACAGGCTAGAGCATATTGTGTCCACTTATAATACATATTAGACACAAATGTTAGCTACATTTGTGTCTAATATGTATTATAAGTGGACACAATATGCTCCCATTGACTTTAGAGAAGCTTGTCCCAAGCCACCTGCATATGCAATTATTTAAACCTTCTGGTAAATTGCAGGCATTGAAATCTACATGAATCAATATTTACTGTTTACTCACATTGTGTATTGACAAATTGCATCATATATGGCTTGTATAAACTTGCTTCGTGCCTTTTTCTCCATGTAAGATCGTTTCCCCAATGCCTCCATTACAACTGGTCAGGTCAGTGAACACCAGTCTACTGTATGGTTAAATAATATGATTATTTGATAAACATTGAAGACAACAGGAATTGAATAGTAAATAATGCATTGAGGCTTCCAGTACCTGGTAGTCTTTCACTGTGAAGTCTAGCTCTTCAATAGCTATAGGCATTCTTCGACTGGTTTATTAAATCTGTTGTTGGAAAAGTTGGTAATTTTTGATATTATTTTATTATCAGTTTTGATTTACATTGACAGTGGTTAACCTCAGTATAACAAACCTCTAATGAAATAATGAAATGTCATATTTATAGCAGACATATTTTGCCAGTCCCTTGACCCTTAACATTTCCTTAAATGCTGAAGACTCTTTTATTTTGCTTGGTTTTATATAGCTGCTCAAATGTGGTGCTTAGCACGCTACTTTCCTCTGATGATAACTGAATGGAATCCTCCAGATAATGACCATTTAATCCTTTTTTGCGATTTGCTTCGAATTGTGGATCTATGCTGTGCCCCTGTAACAAGTGCCACCGCTGCAGCCTATTTAAGAATTCTTATCAAAGATTATTTGCAAGAAATGCTGTTGCTATATCCAAGCAAAAATATATCACCTAAGCAGCACTTTTTGATCCACTATCCTAGACAGCTTGTTCAGTGAGTACCACATAATGATTTACATTATTGCAATTTTCTTTTTTCCTTTACTATATTAAAATTGTTGACTCAATATAGGTGTTGTGATAAACAGTTTAATCTTGTCTGCAAGGTCGTCAGGTCTGGAAGCCACTGGATTTTTCACAGCTGCCATGAACATAATCCCTAGCTTCTTTTGTAGGAAAGGAAAAGAAACAGAAATGAATTAACTTCTTAGCTGTTAAATTCCCCACCATAAGGATTCCATGTGTCCCTGTTAGTGAATCCCTGTTGTTTGTGTGCATATTAGCATAATTTGTGAAAAAAAAGGTGAATTCCCTTAAGCACAACTTACAAGTCAATATTAAAAAAAGTCTTTTACAAAATACCTGGATTGGGCTTTTACATGTAGTATAGATATCGTCAACTTCAAAGTTTTGTATTGGTTGGATTGGTAATAACTATTCTCTCATATAATATAAAATGTTCATTTTACAACTTTTATTACAGAGTTGGTCCTCTTATCAGACTGTGGTGTATGCGATTTGAGGCTAAAAACCACTATTTCAAGAAGCTGGCAAGGAGCTCAAAGGGTTTCCAGAATTTATGTAAAACACTGGCCATCCACCATCAAAGGCTACAGTCTTATTGGCTTTCTGTTGAAGGAGGATATCTACGTTCAGCTCAGGAAAATGGACCAGGTTTGTTCACCTAGCACCTGAAACATGAATTCACTCACTGCATATTTTGAATGTTTTTTTTTTCTGTTAAACCTGATTGGCAAATTTTTGTATAATTTATTGCTGGTTATAGTACTTAAACTTTAGAAGAACGAAAATTAAATATCCTTTTAAATGTTTTATGTCTGACAACGAATTTGAGTATGAACACTTCTTCAAAAAAGTGATGTTGGTAGCTTAATAATGGTGTTTGTATGTGTATGAGTGTATGTGTGGAGGGTTGTGGGGTGGTAAGGGGTGTACAAGCCTTCTCATCCAGAATAACCTGTAAAAACGGTGGGGTAGGGTACCTTTTTTTCTCTTTTCTACATTTTGCAGTTCTTTTCACCCACTCAATGCCATGTATAAGCTAAATGTAGGTCCCCACTCAGCTAGATTTGTCATACAAAAAAAAAAGGGTCAGTGGAATGGAGGCTTGCTTTAACTTATTTACTCAGTTTATGTTCCCCATTTTATATTGCATCATTTTAAGGGAGAAGCATTGCTGTTAATGAAATGACAAGAGTGCGTCAGAATGCTCTATATGGCCACTTTCCTTATATCTTACCAGATACTATACTCTACAGGTACATGAATGGGTAAAGGTATTATTATTCTGATGAATAAATGAAAAATAAGAAAGTGTCTCATTCATATTATTATTTTATACATTCCTGACTGTTTCATTTGTATCCCATGCATTTAAGCTTTTTTAAAATATGAGACGTCTGCACGTAGGTAATTTTATAATGGGAAACTTAATAATGTTGACTATTATTTAATTGCCTCCTTAATTCATAATATTGCATTTACATTCAACCAGGTAATATCTGTAAACTAAAATACTCTTCTTTACATTTTGCAGGCCAAATTGGGTTCAGTGCTTTGGGACAAAGTACCAGGCAAGGCAAATTCTTGTGATTGGCCATGATGGCCTCTTGCCCCAGTTTCTTCAAATTGCTGAAATTCTAATTTTACCAAATGGAAGTATAGTTTTTGTTGGAAACAAGTTAGGCACAGTCAGGCACATTGAACATCTTTGTTCGTATGAGATTTTAGTACGTAACGAAGAGCTGATAAGTAGCTATGAAGCCCTTATCGATCACCACCCTTTATTACTCCACAGAGTTAAGGTTGGAGGTATTGAGACACTTGTTGTGAGGATGAGATATGACCTGGCAGATGCTGTATAAATGAATCAACCGCAGTTATTTAAAAAATATGTCTAGACAGTGCTTAACTAAAATGCTATGTATTAAAATTTATGATATTTTGATACAAATGAAGTGAGAGTTCATTCTTTTAACAATGGGTAATGGCTTTCTTTAAGGTTCTTGCCCCCCTCAAGATGACACACACTGTATTGGGGCAGGGGGGTGGGGGCAGGGGTGGGGTCCCGGTAGTAGATGCCCATGTGTGTTTGTGTA